CGTTTACATTTATCTTGAAGAAAGCATGACGAAATTTTGCGAATGTCGTCTTTAGAGGATCACACCCATCATTCTTCACTGCTCACCGTTTACCATGCTCAGGCATACAAAATTATATTGATGTTTATGCAGATGTCCATCTTGCTCACCTTCCAGATGGCCTCAATTTCTAATTGAATAATTAGACCGGCGAATGTGATGAGAGAAATATAGAAGAAATAGTCGTTTTATACCACTTGAATGGTCAATTGGGAAATCCGCTAACCAGCATTCACCAAAGTCATATATTTTGTCGTCGTCACCTGAAGAGACGGTAGCATTTCACACCATTGGACTCTTGGTCATTTATCGAACAGCCCTATACCTTCAGCCTTTGCTGTTTGACACTAAGCTCTTACACCGCATTTGGCTATTCGTTATTAATGCACTTTCAACACCTCTGACTGTCGGTAGGTCTTGCCAGTTGAGTAATTCATTACGCAAACAGAGGCCTGGTTTCGCAGAACTGGAATCTAAAACATTTGATATCCATGCCCTGTTCTTAGACGCCTAGCCGGTTACTTAATTATGTGAAGCAGCCTGCTGAGTAGATCTGCTATGAAGAATGCTCATTTCCTCAACTGTTTAAAGGTTCTTCGCCATAAGAAAATATGGAAGAAGGTGCCTTGCTCTTGAGGTATATAGATTTCTTCTACAACAGTGCACTTGGCCTACAACATTGCCTCCTCTCTACCGCATATTACGCGCCTTAACCTTATGAATTGTCAAGAGTTTATCCCCACAAAGCTACAAAGGCCCTTTTGCGCAGTTGAATCTGAAGGGCGCAATCATGGCTGATCCAATTCGCAATGATCTGCAGGAGTACCATCGCAGGAAGCACAAATTGAATGACTTATTGCTATGGCAGCAAAAAATGTTTCGTTGCCAGACCATGGACAATCGGTTCAGAGAATCTCCAATGTACGCAACCTATGGACGACAAGCAGCGATCAAATGCGCGCAACAACTAGGTCACAAACTATGGAAACTTGGCGCGAGTTTACTTGGAATCCGCTTGTCTGTTCTTCAGCTTGCTTACATGCCATGGATCGCGTCTCCCTGTGTTTTTCACAGAATTCTGTGATCCAGTAAAAACGTGAGAAACATTGCCAGCTGTATCCTCGTTCGATTCCAGCATCAGACATTTACTTTGAGAGGCTAATTAGTAGGACCTGGAATTTATGCAATTGAGAAAGACCCAATTTTACCACTTATATCTGCAAATTTTAAACAGAAACTTTTCAGCCCACCTTTGCTCACAAGTGCATGAAGGTAAACCTCGTCTGAAGGGCACTTAGTTTCACTTCCTTTACAGCAAGTTGAATCTTCTGTAATCCTAACAGTCTAATATTCAAAACAGTCCTAACTAAGTACAGCAAATGTAACAGCTAACGTCGCGTCATCCCTTATCACCTTTATCACTACTAACGTAGGATGAAGGATCCTGTGCAGAGGTGCACGAAATTCAGGGTATCATGAATTACTTGAGCTTCAGACAGACGGCAACTTGCCACAGCTGCTTCACCTTGCTTTGCCAAACAGAAGCTGTTGCTAACAAGTCCTTGGATTCAAGACTGCATACAAAGTTGGAGTTTAAAATAAGCTGAAAAAAATTTATTGCCTTAAAGAGCCTGTAATACAGCATAGAAGCAAGGAACGATGCTGAATCAGTATAAGACAATAGACAGAATGGAAGGTTTTGGCACACGCTACTAAGTCACAGTTCAGTGATTGCTGACATCACTCGTTGCTGCGATCGCTGCCTCGAGTCTGTACGACTGGTCAAAATATTGTATCGATGGTTGCAACGCAACTGTACTGTTAATGTTACGAATTTCTAAGACTTCGCCTTACTTTAAGATTTTATAGGAAGTCTTTAAGTCAGCGGGCCACAGTGTGGTAAAGTTTGAGACTGGATCAATGGCAAATCATAATGTGCATCAATTGATTGATTTAATCTGTCATATTAATAGAAACAAAATGCTCTCTGTTAGTACAGTATGAACCTCTAGCCAAACATGTGTATTTCGAAGATTGCCGTTTACGCCAATGACCAATGCTAGGTCGTTGCGTTAACGCCAGTTCATATTTACATAGCTGACAGGTGATCACCCATATGAAACACTTGATTCAGTCACTCGGGTTATTGGCTATATACCTGCCTAAAATTGTTTGTCGGCGCAGTACGAAACTACTTTCGAAATTGTCAGTTTCAGAATTTACACCTTTCGTTTACGATTTCACCTTGGTGATGACTCGAGCTCATTAAACCAACGCATATTCATGGGACTTCCGCCCTATGGAGTTTTCAGACGCCTAGCTCTATCGTTTTTTGCGACTTTCCTCGTTCTACTTAATAACCCTGTGTAATCAACAGGGTGAAAGCGTCGTACAGAGCGTAAGCTTGAAATTCAGTGTTCTGACTAAACTAGAGTTACGCTGCGACAGACAGGGCTTTCCATCCATCTGCAATATGACTATCTGCTATCTTTAGACGATTATTTGCTATTATATAAGTTAGAATCGCCACCGAACAACTATAAGCGATTTCTAGACCTCAGCGACCTCGCTTTGTGGCCACAATGGAGCTATTCAGTCAATCAATTTTGATTACCGCTTGTTCTTTCGAATTGTGGAGGCCGCAGAGTCAGACCGCATCCTTAGCATTTATGATCATATGCCAAGGTCTTCGGCAGATGATAACCTGGGTTTGGCGCAGAATTGTTCAAACATTTTGTCCAGGATATTCTTCGCTGTCCCTTGGGTCTTTGGTTCGTCGGCTGGAAACGTAGTAGCCTTTAGAACCACTTTTTAAAGCACTCAACCCATCGGAGCAGCGTCATCTTACTCTGGAGAAGCAGCGACTGTACGCCAAGGTTTTCTGAAACGTCCAACTTCCGAGCAATGTAGTGGCGTTGGAGCACAGCAATTTGTTTCAGAGAGCCGATTTCAGTCGCCTGTACCTATGATCACAGTTTTTCCTGAATTCCACTGTCGCCGATCCCCAAGCCTGTATGAGAAAAATGGAGGGTTGATGAACTCGCGAGGCCTCTCGCAGCTCTTAGCCACTGCTCGTCATGATATTGATGCTGTCGAACGTCATACCAGTTCGTCGTCACCAATGAGCTGCTGGCAACAGTGTCACAATGCGAAACACGTGACCAGAACCTAACTTGCACCTACAGAAAGCTGGCGATCTGGCATCACGGCGACGGCTGGCAAAAATCTACTTGAAGGTAATGAAGATACTTGTCACTAGCGGAGTTGCTGCTCATTCTGCACGGAGGAGCCAGATAAAACGATGCCATTATGGCACGTCAAATGAGGTTCCACAGAAACAACGCCGTCAGTGAGATCCATGGTCAGACATAACAAGAAATGGCAATTTTTTTGCATTCACAAGTTTCATAAAAGGATAATGTTGTATCCACGGAAAGCTCTACATTTCCAACAGCACCCGCCAAGACGTTGTACACTTGATAATCCAATATTAAGCGAAGTATTGGCAATGGTCGATCTA